CACAGAGTCGCAGTAATTAAAATTAGATAAACTAAGGACTCGCACAATAGCACCTTTAGATGATAGCTTAAAGACTGCCGATGGTTAAAAATTAACTTTAAATTGCCAAACGCCCTACGACTAATGGCGGTAATGTGCTGTTTAAAGCGCAAATCGCAGTCCATCGACAAACCCAAGTTTTTTACACACTGTTTTGGTACTAGAACCATGTCTTTTATTTTAATTGCTAAATTATTAATATGATCAGTTCTGGTTCTACGTGGACCAAAAATAATGAAGGACGATTTTAAATGGTTAATTCGTAGTCCATGTAGTTCAGACGTATGAACTATACGTTTAATATCTGAGTTTATATGGCTTATTGCCTTGACAGAATCTGATGCAGAGAAACTGAATTGTAATTGAACATCATCAGCATATTGATGAAATTTGACATGATGGACACTGTGATGAAAATTACTGGTATATATAGAGAACAAAAGTGGTCCCAACACTGATCCCTGAGGTACTCCCGAAGTTATGCTAATAGCTGATGAGATATGCTCCCTTAGTACAACCTGTTGCAATCTACCTTCGAGATAATTTTCGACCAATCGAGTCGCATTGGGATTGAAGCCAATGTAATTAAGGATGCTTATAAGTATTTTGTGGTTTATCGTGTCGAAAGCTTTGGAAAAATCAAGCAAAACTAAAGCTGAAAGTGCGCCTTGATCGACGGAACAAATAATATCATTAGTGACATTCAATAATGCTGTAGTACAACTATATCCAACCCTGAAAGCGGATTGGGTATTTGGTAAAATGGATTCAATTTTTAAAAACTCATTTATTTGTTCAGACATTACTTTCTCCAAAACTTTTGACAAAACCGGCAAAATACTTATTGGTCTCAAATCATTGACGGTGCTTGGTTTACTGATCTTTGGTAGTGGGGTAACATATGCAAGTTTCCAGTCATCAGGATAAGTACCAGTCTTTAAGCAAACATTTATTAAGTACGTTAGGTATGGTAAAATATATGGACAGCACAAGTTTAGCATTTTTATAGTGATGCCATCTGACCCTGCCGATTTAGATTTTACTCTAGAAATATGTCTCAGCACAGTGCGTTCGTCAACTTCAGCAAACGAAAAAGACCAGTAAAAGTAATGGGAAAAAACCTTCCGTAAGTGTTCACTGTAGAATTTCATTAGTTTATTTTCAGATTGAAAATCCAAAGTACTGACATTAGCGAAAGACGTGTTCATCATATCAGCATCATTAAGGTGAGCTGGAATACCTACAGCTTTTCGCTTGTTATAAATGTCTAAAGTTCTAAGGTGCTTCCAGACTTGATTAATGTCATGCTTTACCTTGAAGTCTACGTAAGCCTTTTTTTCTTTTTTAATTGCTGATGTGGTATAATTACGCATGGTTTTGTAAAAATTCCAATGCTCCACTTTTTTACTGTTTTTATATTTCGTTAAAGCATTATCCCGTATAGATATCATTGTTTTTATAGTGTCAGTCAACCACGGAGCTCTTATTTTGGTTATACGTACCGTTTTTATGGGTGCCCAAATGTTAAACAAGTGTATGATATTATTTGTTATAAAGGCCACCATGTCATTTGGATTGTTTAACTCGTAAATAAATTCCCAATTAACTGATTGCAGGGACAGTGCGAACTGATTATTGTCAAAAAGACTAAAATCTCGGTAAGTGAATAAAAAGTTGCTTGGTGACTTATAGCACATAGGATATTCACAGTAGGCGAGACAGTGATCAGAAATACAATGCATGGGAATCACACCTACAATTTCTACATCAATGACTGCTGGCACAATAATAAGGTCTAAAACGGTTGATGTTAATTTACTTACCCTGGTCGGTTCTTGAACTAATTGCTTAAAGCCCAGTACATCAATTAGTGACATAAACCTACATGTTATGGCATCATCAATTTTTCCTACATCCAGATTGAAATCCCCAAGGAAGATGATCTCATTCGATAATGACAAATAATCGGTTACACAATTCTCAAAAGTTTCAAAGAAATCGGTAATGGGATACTCCTGCCTCCTGTACATCGTGCCAATGACCAGTGGTCTACCATGTAAATTCATCCTTATCCAAATTTGTTCCGCACTGGTGCTAGAACTCTTTGCTTTAATTAATTTGTAACGTAAATTATGTTTTACATAA